TGTGGGCGGGTTGTGCTGCTGCTTGTGTCTCCGTGGCTACCAGTGCCCGTCACCTACTGTGGGCACTTACCTCTGAGCACTGGAGTCGACTCAGTGACTCTCCTCGCATTCAGTGGGTAACCAGCCTGCTTGTATGATGCTTCAAGCCATCCGTGCTGATGAGAAAGAGCACTCTTGTCATCAATATTAAACTTACTAATCTTCTGGGGCCAGCAGGTGGCATAGTGGTTAAGGCGCTGGACTCCCACATGACTGACAGCAGTTCAAGTCCTGGACCCAGTGGCTTGAACTCATGCTGGGCGTATGTGCATGCGTGCCTAAAATTCCAAGAGGAAGATGGAGAAGAGATTGTGGTGTGACCATCCCCCCAGAGGTTGATTTCTCACTTTCTCTGTGTGTGTGTCTCTGAGGAGTGCATACATCCTACAACAAAAATCTATCTTAAAAAAAAACAAAAACAAAACTTACTAATCTTTTAAAATGGAGAAAAATCATTTTCTATTTGTTACCACTTTCTTCTACTTAAGGAATTGGGAAAGAGATTTCCAGGACCAGGTCTGATAGCCGTGGAGTGGCCTTGCCCAGAGTCCTCCTCATGAGTGCTACTTTTTGCTAACGGATCACCAGAGAGCTGGGCTGAAGAGTAGGACATTTGACTTTCTCCTGCCTAAGGATTTATTCCCTAAATGTTCAAAGAGTTGGAGGTGTCATCCTCCTCCAGGGGTTTAAATACCTTTGTACTCATGGGTGTACACACTCTGGGCTTACAAGCCCAAGCTAGAGGCAGGCTCTGCTACATACTATCTTTGTGGTCTTGAGCAAGTTGCTTCAGTGTTCTGACATGTATGGTGGAGGTAAACATTGCCTGTCTGCCTCTCTTTTTAAAAAAATTATTTAATTCATTATTATTATTAAATTTGATCAGACAGAGACAGAGAGAGAAAGGGAAAGTGAAAAAACAAGCTGCCAGGTCTGGGACTCAAACCATGGTCAGCCATGTGGTAGTTCAGCACTTCAACCACCACGCCTCCTGCCAGCCCTGACATGCCTGTCTCTGAATGTTGCTGTGAGGTTTCATGTCAATATAACATGCGTAGCACAGACTGGCAACTGAAGTGTCACTAATCGTTCGCTATAGCTATTTTTACCATCTGTATGTCTATTTCATCATTGTCATTACTTCCTATTCTTTACCATCTCACCCAAACTGCAGATTCCAGGCTTGTAGCAGAGTGGTAAAGTTAGGCTCTCTTCCCTGGGATCATTGCTCAGTACATTCCCCCCCCCCCCCCCCCTCACTCCCATCCCCACCCCAGTGCTGTGGCAGGGGGGGAATCATAGTGAAATATAGGAAGCACATTAGTTTATATCACATATCTTCTTTATATTTTATCAATTGAATATCTGAGATAGGACAATTTACAGTTCAAAAGTTTAATTTTTGAATTTATAAAATAATGGCCTTAGAAGAATATTGAAGGAAGAGTTGCTAAGATTCTTCGTTGGATCCTCAGAACCCTAAAGCATCATTCTTGCCCTCAAATGGATTAAAATCTGTTTGGAGAAAGGAGATAAGTGCAGATGAGAAAGGCAAACTACTGTTTGGAGCTAAAATATCAAGTACAGGTACTAGGATAAACTGTGAAGGAGGAAATTCTTCTAGGCTGGTGTAATTTAAAAGCAGGTAGGTCTTGGCAACAGCCGTTGGAGGGTGGGTAAGGATATCACTTGGTGTCTATTCTTAGGAACGGTTTTTGTGAGAGTGGGGAAGTTTTGATGGTGGGAATATAGTTTATGGAATCAAGGAGCGGAGCGCCCCTGTCACTCTCTCCACACCCACCCCATTTCTCAGCCAGTTTTTTTAGTCAAGAGCCAACGCCAGCTGTGTTTGTGTGTTTATACTTGTTTTCCCTTCTAGAAGTTCCCAGAAATTTATTCCACCTGTTTTTCTTTTTCATGCAACACTATGGTCTTCTTTCCTTCCTCACCTTTATTCTTTCGTGAAAGGAGGCATAGATTCCCTTTTGCCTTTTCTAGCCTGTGGTTTCTGGAATATGTATACAAGACAGGTTTTCAAAAGACGTTATTATATCGGACTAGCAGGTGGCATGGTGGTTAAGGTCCTGGACTCCCACATGACTGACTGCAGTTTGAGTCCTGTACCTGGCAGCTTGAAACTCATGCCAGGCATGTGTGTGTGTGTGCCCAAAATCCCAAGAGGAGAATAGAGGAGAAGGGATTGTGGTGTGTCCATTGCTTCTGGGGAGTGATTTCTTGCTTTCTGTCTTTGTCTCTCTGGTAAGTGCACATGCACTATAGCAAAAATGTCTCAAAAAATGTTTTTTAAATGTTTATGACCCCCTTGTTCTCTGCCATTTCCTGTTAAGTTTTATGTTTAGAGCTTGAAAAAAGCAGCTTTAAAGCACTTTTAATAACATTTCTTTATTTCCCAATCTGCTTTTTATAGTCTCCTGTTCCCTGAGGGTATTTTAATTTTTAAACATAGTTGTTTCATACTCTGACTAATAGATAATTAGAATAACTGAAACATTCATGGATCTGTTTCTGCTGATTCTTACTCTTGATGGCTTGTTTTCTTGTGTGTTTTAGGGTGTGTGAGGTTTTTCTGTTTGTTTTTGAATTTTTATTTTTTTTTTTTAAGTTTATGTTTCTTTCATGTGAAACAGACATCGGGAACCCTTGACAGGTTCTCACTGTGCTGTGACCCTCTCCCTTCCCCCAGCCTTGTAGCCAGCCAGCGTCATGGGCACACCTGCAGGCACATACTGTATTCAAATGGACCCAGGATCTGAATCCAGGGCCTCCCATATGACTTTACTGCACAGTGACACCTGACCACCTGTGCCACTGCAGCTGGGCCTATTCATTTTTAATTATGTTTTTAAATTTCCCCTATCATCTGCTCATTATCCTTAAAAAATTATTCGACTCCCAGGATGAAGTGATGTTTGCTTCTTCCAGGTACCCGATGAGGAATGAGTCTGAGACAGCCTTCCCAGACTGCAGTACAGGAGGGTTGAGTTGAGGCCAGTTTTTCAGAAACAGTTTTTCTGTTCCTTTCCTCCTGTTTTGCTTAATGGCCAAAGCCAACCTTTTCGTAATACCAGTAAAGCAGAGAAGAGTTACTACTGGTTCATCTTTATACTGAGGAGTGGGGATTCCCGCTATTGTAGAAGGGTACATGACTTTGGTGTTCTGTTGTTCTACTACTTTCTTATAATTCTTTTATTTTTAAGATTTCCTTTTTTTCCCCTTCTATTTTATTTAATATTTTTAGTAGTTTTCAATAGGAGAACTGGCCCCAAAAATCTAGCCTACTGTTATTAGAAGTGAAAATCTTTATTTTATCCTTAGCAATTTTGTGAGGTTTATGGGGAAGATATCTGGCTTGAGTGCTTTGACAGATGAGGAAACTGAGGCTAAGTGAGGTGTTACGATTGGTTTAAGATCTCACAAGTAGGTGGCACAGACTGGGCCTCCTGAGTGCAAGTTCATTGTCCTTTCCATCCCAGGGCTATCTTTGAGTGACCCCTTACGAGCACATTCTTAAAATTTTGAATGAAGCAGGCATTTGTTGAGGTTTTTGGAAGATATGTAATACCTTTACAGAACCATTTAGACCATTGATTGAAGTAGATTGCATTGGTCTAACTTTCTAGATATGGTATTTGAAGTGAAAAATAATCACTAATTTTTTTTTTCTTTCAGCTGAAGTGAGTAGTGAATATAGTATGGACAAAGCAATGGTTGAATTCGCTATAATGGATCGGGAACTAAACCATTATGTAAAGGCTGTTCAGTCTACAATAAATCATGTAAGTTTATAACACTCACCCGGTTGTGTTCGGTTTTAACTCAGTGATCTAGAAATAGAAACACAAAATCAAGATTCTTGTCTAATCTTTAATATTTCCTTATTCTTGCTATAGCAGCTATTCATTTCCTCTTAACCCAGAAGTCTCATTGAAAAGGAATCTTAAATATTTTCCTGGGTAGGCCACCTAGTTTAATTAGCATTATATCTGTTTTAAATTTTCTTGTAATATTTGTCTCGACTTTTTAAAAATATAAACTGCCTTTTAATGTGAATAGATTTTATTAAATGCTAAAAATTGTTTACAACTTGTTTTGAGTGTTACATTTGCTTAAGCAGAAAACATTTAATTGGTCCTTTTTAGCTTTTTACTATATATACATGTAAGTTATTGCAAAATTCTTAGAATCAGACAATATGAAAGGGTTTTAGAGCAAGTTTAAAAATAAAGACGGTTGGCATTTCGGTTTTTCCAGAAGCCAAATTTTCTGTAATGGATATCTTATCTTTGTTGACTCCATCTGTCACAGGAACAACACATGAGGTAGTTAAGGTGGGAACATAGCAACATCCTTTTCAGGAGTATTGTGTTGAGTAAGAAATGAGCAATATGATTGCAGTAATGTTTCTGAGAAGTCTTTTGTCCTCTGAGCAATGGAAACTCCCTGTCAAACTGATTTCATGTACCTGTGTAAAAGGGTGTCTTGTACTTCTGGTTTCTTTATTTGCCTTTTCTTATAGCTGTGGGAAAATACCCCAAATGAAATATTTTACAAGATTGACTACAATTTAGTAAAAGATAAATTTTAAAATAGTGTTTAATATTTAAGCCAATAAAATGATCATTATATTTATATGAAGTTTTCTGTTTTATTTTGTTTGTTTGTTTGTTTGTTTTTTAATGGTTAGTGTTTATTAAGTACTGTGACTATCCTTAAGAATATGTGTTTAGGGACCAGCAGGTACCATAGTGGATAAAGTGCTGGACCTCCACATGGCTGGCCGCAGTTCAAGTCCTGGACCTGGGACTTGAAACTCATTCCAGGCGTGAGTGCACCTGTGTTCCACATCTCAAGAGGAGAATGGAGGAGAAAGGATTGTTCCATGGCCATCCCCCGTGGGTGGTGATTTCTCACTTTTTCTCTCTTTCTGTCTCTCTGGCAAACACACACACGTGCCTTATTAAAAAACAAAACAAAACAAAACTCTTTTTAAAAAAAATATCTGTTTCTATCCAAATAATAAAGACACTCATTTTGTAAATTTTGGTGTTTCTGGACACCATGATTTTAGCCCTGGTCCTGTGAATATTTCTTTCATAGAAAAATAGGGAAATGATGTCATGTTGACATCATATTTGAAACTGGATAACAAAGCACTTAGAGCAGAGTTTTTTATTTCTGGCCACACCCTAGAGCCAACCAGTTCCTACTCTTAGAGATTCTGATTTCACTGGTCTAGATCAGAATTGGGACATCAGTGGTTTTTAAGAACTCATTCCGATATGTATTCAAAATTGAAACTATTGACTTAAAAGAAAGAGTAAGGCTGGGACTAGCAGTTGGATTAATGGCTTTATCACTGGACTCCCATGTAGTTGACCATGGCTCGAGTCACGGACCTGGTGACTTAAACTCATGCTGAGTGCGTGTGTATGTGTGTGCCCAAAATCCTGAGAGAGAATAGAGGAGAAGGGATTGTGGGGTGGCCATCCACCCTGGGAGGTGATTTCTCGCTTTCTGTCTCTGTCTTTCTGATGAGCGCATGTGTCCTATAGCAAAAACCTCTCCAAATAAAAGAAAGAAAGAAAGAAAGAAAGAAAGAAAGAAAGAAAGAAAGAAAGAAAGAAAGAAAGAAAGAATTCATAACATAAAGCGTGTTTGCCACCAAAGGTCAGAGTTAGGCCAGTTATATGGATTGGTCTTGCTTTGACCCTTACCGTCTGTGGCAGTTATTTGACAGTCCTATCTTTCTTTTGTTTTTAAGATTTTTTTTTAAAGTTTATTTCTTCCATGTGCAAGGAAGACATAGAGACAGCATCCCAGCCAGATTAGATACCGTGATTGACCCTCAGCTTCAGCCTGCCCCAAATTATGAACACATACATGTCTGGCCTGGCATACTCAGGGGGGTCTCTAGATGCAACTGGGGAACCTTCCCCTGTGGCTCAGCCCCACAGAGCATCACATTTTATTACTGCGCCACTGTCTGACCCCTTTGGCAGGCTTTTCTTTCACCTTTAGCTTTTATACTAAACAACTATAACAGCATAGTCTATATTATAGATCAGAAAACAAGATTTGGGGGGTCCAAGAGCTAATGCTTATTTTCCTTTTTCTATGAAACTCTAGGACTCACAAATACTTAAGGCATTTTTGCATTAAGAATTGAATTCTTCCCTCTTCAAGAAACTGAACCATTCATTTTTAAAGTTAAACACAGAAGAAATCTCCATTCTTGCTCTCACACAGTATTTTAAAGCATTTCTTTCATCTCGAGGTCCTATCCCATTATCTTCACCCTATTAAATAAGGGAAGATTATGCTTGAGTTTTGTACTTTTCAACCCTAATCTCACATTAGTCTATGTAACAGCTTAGATGTAGTGATTCCGGTGCTTGCCAGAAATGTCTCTGGTCATTCATAAGAGCAGAAAACATGTTTTTTCTTTTTTCTTTTCTAATACACAGTTATGCTCCCTATGTAAGTTTGGTACTGTCATTTTCTAAGACCTGAAACCATTTAGAGACCTAATGGGAATGTGACCATTATTTTGAGGGAAGTGTTTTACACCTCTTTACGTACTTCAAGTTATAGATATTTGCTGTCTTATTGCTTGTTTTAATGAAAATAAAGAGTGGAGAGCAACATGGGAGGCACCAGGATGGTTTAGTTCTTTAGAATCAGTAGTGGCCCAGTGACAAGAAACCCTGCCAGCCCTAGTTTTTCCACTTTCTAAGCTATGATCCTTGGTCAAGAAATTTAACCTCTCAGAACTTCATGTTCTTCATCTATAATTTCTTAGCCTGACTCTTTCACAACGTTTTTATGTGAATCAGATTAGATACTGTATATCAGAATACTTTGGCATTCATAAATTTTGATGAGGCTATAAGATATTACATCATTGCAAGCCAAGATTTCCAAACACAACTCCTTAAAAAGGTGGAATAAAACCTTTCTAAAAATAAGTCGTTTATTTCTCTCCCTTTATTTCAAGGTGCTTTTATTGACTTTGACCTATACTCTAGAATTCAAGAATCTTATGGGATTAGGTGCAATCTTTTTAGTTTATAACATGAGGTATTCATAGTCTCTACAATTAAGAAAGTGCTTTAAGCCAATTATAAAGAAAGAAGGCAGATAATGGGAACCACAGGAGTCCCATGAAGCTTTTTCTCTGCCATGGACTTTGAGGGCTGCAGTGCTTCCCTTATTGTATATTTCCCCTGATTCTGAACCACCCTTTGGTCTTCCTGTCTACGAATTTTTATATAGTCATAGAAAGTTAAAAACAAAAAACCTTCTGGGACCAGCAGTTGGCATAATGGCTATGTCGCTGGACTCCCATGTAGTCGACCACGATTCGAGTCCTGGACCTGGTGGCTTAAACTCAGGCTGGGCGTATGTGCGTGCGTGCCCAAGATCCTGAGAGGAGAATGGAGGAGAAGGGATTGTGGCGTGGCCATCCCCCCTGGGGAGTGATTTCTCACTTTCTGTCTGTCTGTCTCTCTGTGTCTTTCTGGCGAGTGCACACGCCCTATAGCAAAAACTTCTGGGAGGAAAAAGAACCAACTTCTAAAATCATCAAAGAGCCTTTGAGTTTATTATCTCAATGAGTTTTTTTTCCCCCACGCTCATCTTCACAGAATTTTGAAAGTTACGCATTTCTGAAGGGGTTTCAGAAATTGACGTTTGAACCTTAGAGATGTGGGTTCATTTACCAGCAATCCCTGGGAAGTCCCTTTGACTTGAGCAGGAGCTTGAATTGCTTTCCTTTGTCTTTTGAGAAAGTAGGACTACCACTTTCATAATGCCTGAAGATTTTATTTGGAATCAGGAGTGATTTCAGTGCTCTGAAACCGATTAAAAAAAAAAATACGGCCTTGTTGTAGCAAGTTTGTGTAGGGCATATAGCCTAGTGAGTTCTAAAAATAAAATAAAATAAAATAAAAATCCCCAGATAGTCTCTTAAGTCATTTATAAAAACTTTCAAGATAAATGAGTTATATTCCTGTCACAACTCTTTAAGAAATTCGTAATAGAATCTCGAAAAGTTCTCTATGAATTCCTTGGAGACTTTCAGTCATGAGACCACACATGTAATGAAAATGTTTTTGCGAACTCTAAGATGGCATACAGACTCAGTATGGTTATTTTCTTTTTAAAATCAGCAATACTGTCAGGGAAAAACTGTCTTCTCAATTTTGTATTGATAATAGTGATGCTCTGAATATTAGATTTTTGATGACCGAATGTTTCTTCCCTCTTTCTAAGCTTCTATATGAAGAGATTGAAGGGACATCATTGACTACCTTTTTGGCCTGAAATGTTCATTAAATAAATATTTACTAAACACCCATGTGCCAGGCATTTCTAGGTGTAAAAAATAGGAAATCAGTCAGCAAGGCACGTATGACCTTCACCTTCTGTAATCTAGGAGAGAAGACAGACGTTTAACAAAGAACAGTGCTAATGCTAGTTGACTGCTGCTGTGGTATGTACTACAGAAGGAAAATAGAGCAGTCAGGGAGCGTTGGTAACAGGAGGCATAATACCTTTTTGAGGGGAGATGGTGAGGGAAACTCCTTACTGAGCATCAGTAAGGAATAGGTGACTTCTCTGACTGTGACTTCTGCATGAAATGGAAACATCTTATTACTGGTTGTGTTGATGTGAGCCTTTTAGTGCCTTGATCAATCCAAAGACAAAAAATTAGTCAAGAGAAGCCCTACCTTTTTATATAGAAAGTTAGAGTATATGGAATAGTTGTGTAACCTGT